AATAAGACCTGCTGGGTCTTCAAGCATGACAATCACTCAAAAATGTACAGCCAGGGAAACTGAGGAGTGACTCCAGAAGGAACATTTCTAAGTCCTGGCATGGCCCAGACAGTTTCCAGACCTTAAACCCAGGAGAAAATGTTTGGAGTGAGCTGAAAGTCCATGTTGCCCAGTGACAACCCCGAAACCTGAAAGATATTTGTGAAGATATCAGTATGGAGGAGTGGGCCAAAATCTCTACTGCTTGAAAGCCTGGTCAAGAATTGTATGAAAAATCTAATCTCTGTAATTGTAAACATCTTTACCATATATTGAGTGCCATTTTCTATCATATGTTTATTTTATGCAATAAAATGCAAATCAAAGACAGCACAATGTAATTTTTTGCATTTTTTTAAGATTGCGTCTTTCATCATTGAGGTGTACCTAATGAAGATTACAAACCTCGGAGACTTGGCAATGTATCAAATGCCTTATATCATAGGTTGAGATTGTTAAAAACAATTACATTGTTAATTACATTTTTTTTTTCTATACTAAATAAATATGACATTTTTTTGTTGTTATTTCAAGTGTTTTTTGGGGGGCGGGGGAGTTTACATTAACCAAAACTACAGATGGAAGTTACTGCATTGACTCTCTTTTGAACCCCACAGACAAACACGTTGAACAGAGATCCTGTAGATCTGCAGGAAAGATGATTCAGAGAAGCGAGTTGGAAAAGAGGGCGTGTCCTGCAAAGGCTCCTTTACTATGGGGGTAGAAAAAAAGAAACCATCTTAGTCAGGTTTTACTGCGAGTCCTGTGAGCACACAAAGGAGGAGAGAAGCATTTCTGAGAAAGAAGATTTCCCTGTGTCACCTTATCCCTGGACAACATGGCACGGAATAAACTGAGTAAGGCTACGTTTAATCAACAGTTTGTTTGTTGATGATCCAGTGTTTGTGTGTGGTTTGCTCCTTTGTTCTTGTAAACTGAGCTGAAGTAAAACCACCACCGGACAGGACTGCAAGTGCTTTCATTATTGGTTAACTACACAAATAATTCATGTTAACTTTTGGAGCTGAA